CCCATGGGCAGGTTAGGGAAGCCCCAACTCTCCTCTGCAAGGTCCAGAGCAGCTTTTCTGCCTCCCACAGCCGGGAGCATCCATCTGGAGAAACAGACTGCCTGATCCTGCTTATGCTTTCACCCAGCAACAATATGCTCAGGAGCCTTTAATCCAGCACAACAGCCTTCTGCCCAAGAGATCCACACACAGACTAAAGCTTCTGTGTTTCCAGTTCCCCCTGGCAGCCTCCTCTTCCTGCCTGGCTGAGAAGAGATCAAGGGAGGAGAAGGATTCCTGCTCAGTGACCCCCTGCCTCAGCTGGATCTCTGGTGGAGCAAAGTGCCCGTGTGCTTCTGCTCTAAGTGGTCTGACACAAACCACAGTCCTGGAATGGTTTTGGATGGGAGGGACCTTAAAGTTCATCTCATCCCACCCCCTGCCATGGGCAGGGACAGCTCCATTAGACCATGGTTCAAGCCCCATTCAATCTGGCCTGGATCAAACCACAAAGCTGGTTTGCTCTCAGTACCCTCAGAAGGAGGTGAGGATAGTGGGCACCCCACAGCTCCCAGAATGCCCAAATTCTGCATCCACAGATCACACCCCACACAGTACCTGGATCCCTTTTCAAGTCCCCCGTTCACCATGGGGATCCACTTTGTGCGAATCTGGAAGGTGAGCAGAGGGAAAGGGCTGTTAGCACAGCCTGGGGAGGGAGAGGCAGCTCCCAGGCAGGCAGGAACAGGGCCCTGCAGCCATCTGCTCCCCAGCATTCCCTCACACCAGCAGGCAGAGCAGCCTCAAGGATGCTGGATGCCAGCACCAGGATGCAACAACCCTGTTGTCCTGCTGTGATGGATCAACCTTGGGTGGGGCTCAGCTTCAGCTTGCAGGAGTCTCTGACCCAAAATCCCACAGAGCCAGAGGCCATCAGTACGTGCCCACACCACAGGGCAGCATGGAAACCCCTGGGAACCTCCTCTGGCTCTGCTGTTGGAGCAGGGCCGTGGTGGGGATGGGTTACCTTGTCAATGGTGGCCTCCTTGGTGACATCGTACACCATGCAGACCACGTTGGCCTGCAAGAGAAGCAGGAGAGGGTGGAGAAGGGGTCCCTGCCACACTTGTGGCAGCAGGGAAGGCCAGGGCAGCAGGGAAGGCTGCCTGGACTGCCAGGGAAGCACAGCGGCCGAGCACACATGAGCATGGACACGTACACAGCCCCCCTGCCCTCAGCACAAGCCCACGAGCTGCTGGGAGCAGCTCCTGTGCCTCGGGAGCTGCTGGGAGCAGCTCCTGTGCCTCGGGAGCTGCTGCTCCCATGCCTGCTGGCCCAGATCCCCCTCCCACACCACCCGTGTCCCAGCCCTCCTCCCCTCCTGACCCCCTGCAGACAGGGCCAGCACCGAGGCTTTATCGGAAGCAGACAAGAGGGATCACTGGTCCTTTCAGCAGAGAGTTTAATGCTAATCCGAGGACACACAAGGGTTTAGGCAGGATTTCCTGGAGCCATTTAAAGCTTCTGTGTACTCCTCCTGTCTGGGTGGAGGGAGCAGGACCCCCGTGCCCACCTCCTCGGCCGTTAGCCACCAGGGCTGGGAGATTAAATAGGTTTGCTCACGTGAGAGATGGTTTTATTATCCATAATTAAAAGGGCTTCATGTCTGCAGAATCAAAGTTAATCCCAGGGCAAAGAGCAGCTGGGTCAAACCCAGCCAGACAACTTAATTACTCCTCCATGGCTGCTCTGAGGGCTCCCTCAACCCTCCCTGCCCAGTGCTCAGGGGCTCCAGCTCCCAAATTAACTCCTCTGTGCTACCGCTTCATCAGGCAGCCACAGGGATCTAATGCAGGGAGCAGGGGTCTTGCCCAAACCCAGCAACTGCTTCTCCCTCTTCTGAGTCCGTGGGGAATATCCCAAGGCTGAGAGCACAATGTCTGCTCCTGCCTCCTCCTCCTGCCCTGGGCAGCGAGCTGCCCCTGCCGCTCGCCTTCTGGAGGCTCCCTGGAGGGCCTGGACAAGCCACACACAACAGCTTACAAGGCAGAGCAGGATTAAACAAGCCTCCAAACAAACCAGGAGCATTAATCCGTGGATAATCAACTGCCTGTGCCTCTCTGGGTGGCTAACAGGGAGGGAGGGGAGCAGCTATGTCTCCCCTGGGGACCACAGCCTCCTGTCCCCATCCTGGCCAGCCCTGCTCACCTTGGTGATCTCCTCCTGCAGCTCCTCCTCCGTCTGCTCTGACTCTGGAAGGGGAATGAAGCCATCACCACCTGCCCAGGCAGGGCCACCCCACCCCAATCCCCTCAGCCAGGCAGGGAACGGGAGAAGCCAGGCAGGACAGGGCCCTACCTGAGTAGTCCACTATGTGTGTGGGGACCTTCTCAGGGGTGACATCGGCTGGGATCGTGATCTCCTCTGCCCGGGGGGGCACCTGCAAAGGCAGCACACCCCGTCCAGCCAAGCAGGACAGGTGACAAGGGACTTCAGAGCCTTGGCCACTGCCAGGGCTGGATGAGCTGTGCACCATGGATTGCTCTTGGCCCACTGGGCTGCAGCAGCCCCTTGCAGTCCAGCTCTTGTACAGGCAGTGTCCTCGAGGTGCAACTTCCACCTGCCTCCCTCACACGAAGCTCCTGAAGCTGGTGGAGATAAGCTCTGGGCTCCTGTGGGAGCAGCGCTGAGCTGCCTGTGTGGGCTGGGCTGGGAGCAGGGAAAGGGTGCAGGGCTGGTCCCCCCAAACCCGTGAGCTGATGCTGCCCATCACAACACCATGGAGGGCACCCATGGGCAGTGGGAGAAACCATGTGAGGCTCAGGGAAAACGTGCCTGGACAGATTGATCCCATTTCCCTACCCAAACTGTGCTGGCACAGCAAGCTGTCGAGGGGCACAGCTGGCTGGATGCTGCTGCTCACAGCTGGCCTAGCTCACCCATCTCCAGAGGGTGCAGCGGGCAGGGAATGAGGCTGGCCCCTTCCAAGGGCTCTGCGGTGGTGCCAGCCCTGCTGTGCTGGTGACAGAGACCCCCAGCAGCAGCAAGCACCAACACCCTGCTCAGGGCACAGAGAGCTGCGAGCCAGGATCAGCCCCCGAGTCGGAATGAGAGCACAAAGCGAGGCAAACACCAGCTCAGCCGGAGCTCCGGGCGGTCCTCACCGCCGGACCCGGAGCAGCCCCGCGGCTGTCGGGCAGACTCCGCCGTGCCAGCGGGGCCACGGGGCAGAGCTGTCCCCTGCGAGGGACGGCTGGGCGGCGCGCCTCCCCTCCCCACTCACCTCTTCAGGAAACTCCTCTCCCACCAGAGCCATGATCAGGGACGTCTTCCCCACCTGGGCTAGGAAATAAAGGGAGGACGTTGACATTGGCCCCGGCACGGCGGAGCCTGAGGGGGACAGGGCCGGCGGGAGCCACCATCGGAGCCGTGACACCGCGGATCGGCCGCTGACAACGACGGGCCCGGAGTAACCCCCGGTCCTGCCAGTGACGGGGGCTCCACCCGGGCCCCCCGCCCGCCCTGTCCCCGGGGATGCGGCGCAGGAGGAGCCCCGCGGCCCTCACCCTCCCCGAGCAGCAGGATCCGCACGTCCCGCTTCATGGCGGCGCCCGGCCCCCCCGGCCCCTTCCGGCCGCCCCGCCGCGCGGCGGCGCGGGCGGCGCCCCCTGGCGGCGCCAGCACAGCCGGACCTCCAGCGCTGCAATTCCGTGTTTATTAACGAGAACAGAACGCTCAGCGAGCGGCGCCGAACGGTGAACAGCGAACGGCACAGAACGGTGAACAGCGAACGGCACCGAACGGCACCGAGCGGCACCGAACGGTGAACAGCGAACGGCACCG